ATTGTTATTATTATTATTACTACTATCACTACTACTACTACTACTACTACTACTACTACTACTACTACTACGACTACTACTAGTATTACTACTACTACTACTACTACTACTACTACTACTACTACTCCTACTACTACTACTACTACTACTACTACTACTACTACTGTCATTGTTGATAACGATCCCTGTGAGTGTATCGTTCTTATTTTTGTTACCTATTACTGTCATTGTGACTACTAGGTTCTTCATTCGTAGTATTATACTACTTTGTCATTATTAGTAGCATTATCAGTAGTAGCAGTAGTAGTAGCAGTAGCAGTAGCAGTAGCAGTAGCAGTACCAGTAGCAGTAGCAGTAGCAGTAGCAGTAGCAGAAGCAGTAGCAGTACCAGTAGCAGTAGCAGTAGCAGTAGCAGTAGCAGTAGCAGTAGCAGTAGCAGTGGTAGGTAGTAGTAGTAGTAGTAGTAGTAGTAGTAGTTGTTGTTGTTGTTGTTGTTGTTGTTGCTGTTGCTGCTGTCGTCCTAGTCTTAGTATTTCTCATAGTGCAGCTATCAGATTGACATTATGGTTAGTGTAGCTTCTCTAAGCTGTAAGGAATCACCACCAATTTCTTATCCAGCAGCAGGTTTAGGGTGTAGGGTTTAGGGTTTAGGGTCCTGTCAGGTGTTGACAACAGGCACCTGGAGCAGCAGGGGTTGGTGTCGCCTGGAGCGGGCCGCGCGCGAACTGTCAACAGACACCTCGTGGGTTCTCATTCAGAGCGACACTGGGTCAGGGTTTACGGTAGTATAAAGGTTGATGCGATGGGGTAATTGCAGTGAAGTGTGCTCACATAAGTCAAGTAGTTTTCGTAACTTCAGCTCAGTTCTTCGATGCTTGGAGGATCATGGGACTTTGTAAGTCAAGTTATAAGTGCTTTATTTGGGGCTATGAGCAGTTTTAAGTATGGTTACCCAACTAATGGCCCTAGTTCACAAAATCCCATGATCCTCGTAGAAAGAGCCGAGGATACCTACATGGAAGTTGTTGGCTCAGTGACGTCCTTGCCGGGTGGCACTGTCGGGGAAGGCGAGTTCAGTAAAGCAGAGGATTGTCAAAATTTGGCCCCGGTGATGCGTCATATCCTGGAGCACAAGCTGAAGCATTGCCTGCGAGTTGGCGACTTTCCTGGATTCCGACGCTACTACAACCTCCAAACGGTTCACCTGCGTGGGCTGGAGATCGCGCAGGTACGTGGCTTTCTGCCCAGTGCAGTTGGTGACGATCCCGTCCAGGAGTTCTTGCATCAGAACGGCTTGCGGAGCGTCAAGAAAGCTGACACAGCAGGATTTTGGCCACTGCACTACGCGGCACTGGCCGGCAACGTAGAGGCACCTTAGTAGTTGAATGAGCACACCTATTTGGGAGAGTATTAGAATGTATTGTATCGACTGCCGAACTGAAGTTTGAATTGCACTTTTTGTTAGGCTTACATACAGGCTCCACAATACTTCCGTTGTTTGTGGTTTATATATGTAGGGTTCTAGAAGGTAATTCCAACAACGAACTACAATGGAGCCTATGGGTAGACCCTACCTGTAGCCGAAAAGACCTACCAATCTAGGATCCTCATTATGCTTTCTGTTTGTGGTCCCTTAAACAGGTAGGTCTTTTGGTCCACAGGTACCCTCGATTGTTGACTTATGAACCCAGGTGCTGAGAGGCCTCTTGGAGCGGCGAGCAGATGTGAACCGGCGCACCTCCAAGGATGAACCGATCCTGGGATTCCCACCTTACATGTCGGCGCTGGAGCTGGCTGTGTTCTTCAAGCGAAATGAGGCCGCAGAGCTGCTTTTGGCATCAAGAGCCTCCGTTTCGGGCGTCATCGTGCCGCCGGTCGCAGTTGCAGCTACGAATGGCAATGTAGAGGGCATCCGCCTGCTGTGTGCGGCAAAGGGCATGCCTCTGGCCATGGACCTCTTTGGTTGCAGCAGCCTAGAGTCTGCAGCCGCGTGGGCATCTCGAGCTGCAGTGGAGGAGTTGGTCCTGCGGGGCCGCCCGACTTCGCTGCAACTCTCCCTGGCGCTCTGGTCTGCCACAGTCTTTCGGGGCGGCTCGGCAGAGCTGGTGCAGCGGCTGATTGGCCTCCGTGCAGACATCAACTTTCAGTTCAATCTGTCGCGGGACTACAGTCTGCTTGCCCGAGGGTTCTATGGCGCTAAAGCGCTTCAGTACCGGCTCGGTCGGAGAACATCTTTGACAATCCACGCTTCTCACATGAACGGCAGCACGCCACTGATGCAGGCTGTCAGAACGGCTCAATTCGAGGCCGCAGCGGCGTTGATCGCAGCTGGTGCCAGACTGGACCTCTGCAATGCTCGGAAGTGGGTTGCAGCGGAGTTTGCCAGGAGCCAATCGATCCCAAGATTCCTGCAGCTGGGGCTTGAAGGGGATGCGTCGGAGTGCCGGAGAGTGTCGTCGCTCGCTGTGGTGGGCGAGGGCGAGATCTTTGACGTCATCATCCAAGAAAGTGTTTAGTTTAGACCAAGTAAAAATCCATAAGCAGACAGCTTATTTTCTTTTCGTCGTACAAGCTAGGTTTTCAGCTTCCCAGCCGCTGGCCTTGTTCTTTTTGTTGAAGACTCTTAGTTTGTGGTTTGGGTTGCGAGCTTCCCGGCTCGGGTCGGGTTCAGGGTTCTACATTAGTCCATCTTCAAGGGGACCTTATTCTAGAACCATATAGAACCCTATAGGATCCTTTACAAGGGGACTGATTATAGGATCAAGAACGAGGTTTCGGTTCTGGGAGCACCGCCAAACGTAGCCGGAACATGATACATGCTCCGTGTTCGAGAGTTTCACCCTTTTTCCGGATCCAGCAGAGAGCACTGCAGGATCCCGCTCGTGATTGGCGGGCGGGGGAACTCAAACATGCCAGCACCCTAATACAGAAGCCTACACGATTACCAAGATTGTTTCTTTTAGGGTTCCTTATGGTGATTATACTACAAAGGAGCCCCAAACCTTGTTCTAATTCTGAAGGCCCCTACGTTACACTCGAACCGCTGCAAGACTTGTCCCATATTTTAGGTTGCTCGAGCGCCCAAGGGCAACACCTTCGGAAATCGATCAAGGGCTTGGTGGGTGCACGAACTCCCTACACAGCTTAGCGGCTTAGCTTGTCTCTCGCCGACACGATGAGATTTGGGAGGGGGATGGGAGTGCTACAGGGGGAGGCGAAGGCATCTATGATAGAGACCCTGACAGAAGCAAGGACAATCGTAAAAACCTTAAACCCTAAACCCTAAACCGTGATGTTGCCAGATCGGACATCCTGAACATTGAGTCCGAAACCACAAAACCCCAAACCCTAAAGACCTGGGCCCTATATCCGTCTTTGTCTTCTAAACCCCAGGCCGTAGACCCTACACCGCTTGTAGTAGTCTTAGACGGCCCTTGACCCCTCTTGTCCTGCATCCGGATAGGTAACAGACTGCCCTTATTCCGAAGGACTGCTGGGGAAATAAGGAACGGTCAACATAGGGCCCGAAATGATTCGTAGCAGTATTCCTGACGGCCTCTAGTCAAGTTAGAGTATAGAAACATACAGAAGCCAACTCGCTCGACACCCCTAGACCCCAACACGAATACACCCCAAGCCCTAAATCCTAAAGCCCTACGCTTCTGAGCCCCTAAACCCTAAACCCCTAAACCCTAAACCACAAGACACTATAAGCCCTAAATCCTAAAGCCCTACGCCCCTGAGCCCCTGAACCCCACACCCTAAGCCTAAAAACCCCGCCCCTGAGCCCCTGAACCCCACACCCTAAGCCTCAGCCAGTTCTCGCGTCCCTATATACATATATCTATTTGTATATATATAATTATATATATATATATATATATATGCATGTGTGTATATATGTATATATCTTACATATTTATTTGTTTATTTATAGTTGTCCAAAACCTTCCTCGAAGCCTCCACTTGTGCTTTCTAGACTGTGTTGCGACTCCACTCCGAACAAAAGTCTTATATTATATCCCACAACCGTTCAAACCGAGATAATGATAGTGAGTACTGCGTATTATTTCCTGTCTACGACGATGCAAACCCGCTCAAAGACTATCTTTGGACACCTGCACACAGAGATAGTAGATAATCAGATTACATTAAACATAGGAATCAAGCCGGTTGTGCACTCCCGGGTATAGCTCCGTCAGACTAGGCACTATAGGAGCCTGAGCAAGTAGTATTTCTACTGGGGTATATGCCCCAGCACCCCATTCTACCCATGCTAGCTCTAAAGCCTTAATCGGCTCAGGGGCTTAGGGCTTTAGAGAGCTTTCCACATGCCTTCGATCATAGTGAAGTTCGCTCCACAATCTCAGGTATATTACCCTAAAGCCTGAACCCTCAGCTCCCGCTTATAAATTCAGGTATATTCCCCAATCAAAGGGCTTGCATAGTATGAACCCAGAGACTCCACACGCCCCTTAATTCAGGAGGAGAACTTAAATCACATTTGGGGTCGTAATACCATCTAAGGGTATGTCTCCTTGAATTCTCTTTCAGGGATCCTTTTAAGGAGCCCTTGAAGGAACCCTTTAAGGGCCCTTTAAGGAACCCTTGAAGGAACCCATTAAGGAACCCTTCCAGGAACCCTCTTAAGAAGCGGTTTTAATCATGGAAACCCTAAACCCTAAACCCTAAGGAGCCCTTTTAATCATTGGAATTTTAGAGTCTCTGGGAAGTCCACCTGCTGGCCGCCGAGGACCTCATTGCCGCGAGGCTTGCGCACCAGAGGCGGGTTGGGGGTTTAGGGTGTTACCTATAGTCTGCATAGTAGTAGTTGTTGTTGTTTTTGGTTTAGCCAGGTTTATATTAAGGATGCCAAAATGTAACCCCGACAAGGAATTACAATGGAAACTAGAAGTAGGGTTCAGTGCTTAGGGTTTGGGATTCAGGGTTGGGTTTCTAGCCAGAGCTAGTGTTGCGGGTTCGGATTTTAGAGTTTAGGGCTTTAGGGTTTAGGGCTTAGAGCTTGAAGGCTGTAGGGTGTATGGGTTCAGCGTCTTCGAGCCCAATAAACTGTGTGGTTCAATGGAAGATAGGGAGGAAGCAAGTGACAACCCTTGGATACGAGATTGTCTAGACCCGGCTCATCTTAATATAGGGGCCTGAATAATTACCAATACTATTTTTTTGGGGGGGTCCTTCTTATCATTACAGTCATTCCCTAAACACTAAACCCTTCTGATATACCCCAACACCCTATTCTAATTTTAAGGCCCCCTATATTCCATGTTTCGAGTTGCGGACCTATGCACTGGGCGACTAAGTCTAGGGTTTGCCAGCTGGCCGAAACTTTTAAACCCTGCCTACCCTACCTTTTAGGGTTTACGGTTTGGGGCCGAAACCCTCTGAACACGTCCTAAACCCGACCTTCCGCGCCAAACCTACAAAATTAGTAAGTCATACCTAACCCCTTCACAACTCCAGAGCATACCTAACCCTGAATCTCTACACCCTCCAAACCGCAAACATCTGTCCAAAACTTACGAATCCCGATATGGGTAGTTCTCTAAATTAGGGTCCCTTTCTAGGTCCCCCATATAGTTGAACGGGACCTAAAACAGGGACCCGAATTTAGAGAACTACCCATATCGCACCGAAGAAGCCCTCGCGTTTATAAGTATAAGTTTATGACGACTACAAGGGGGAGACTACCAGTACCTGAATTTATGAGTTCTTGAAAAGGCATCGTAGCTTAATTTAGGTATCAGCCCTGTGATCACAGGAATGTGATTGCTGTGCGCAAGCGCTTCCCTCAGTATGTTGAAAAGGATTCTCGACAGCAAATTTGGAGTGTTTTTAAGTATGGATAAGCTCTGGGGTTGAGGGGAAGGGGTACCGGATTTACGACATAGCCTCGTACATTGGGCTCGGTTTTTGGGGCACTGATGGTACGGATGACGCAATCATTCTAGATCCCCGAAAAGGATCCTCACTGAGAGAACTACCCAATTAATTATAACTCCTTCAAGAGAGCGCAGTGTGGACATGGTTATGGGTTTTCCCCGAAACAGAGGCCGAGCATTTGTTCCATATAAGTACTAGCGACTGGGAGGGTTACAAGATCAGCTGCCGCCGATTATGCTGATTGTCAGGGCAACGACAATGTCCGCTCATGATGCTGATGAAGACGCAGGTCGTTGTGTGGTTGTCATAATCTTCATCATCGCCGTGAACACCATCATCGTCATTGTCATCTTCCTCATCACCGTCATCCTCATCCCCATTCTCATCATCATCACCTTCTTCTTCTTCTTCATCATCATCATCATCATCATCAAGTTGATGCTAATGGTCGTTCTCTTGGCCATGACGTGTTTTTTTATGATGCTGCGGTTGTTGCCTCTGCCGGTGGACATGTACCAGATGACGAAGCCGGTGCTGTTGCTGATGCATAGGGTGATGACGATGACGATGACAACGATGCAGGCGGTTGTCATCATCTGCTTCCTGCTTATTGTGGTGACCGTCGAAAGCATGATTAATGTAGGGGCCTCAATAATTAGAGTAGGGTTTTGTGGGGGGTTCCTTAGCATATTTATAGTATAACATACCCCCAAACCCGACTCTAATTATTAAGGCTCCCGTATTATGTGACGACCGGGAACATGATGGTTTGACCGCGGTGCAAACCAGGAAGGTCTCAGTCACCATAAACTCCATGGCAATTGCCATCCTCTAGTCCCTCACCTTACACGCCTAAACCCCTGAACCCCTAAACCCTGAACCCTACTTGGAGGCCCTTTTGACTTAGTAAGTCTACTTAGTATCCCCCAGGAGCCCTATTATAATCCCCATAACCCACCTTACTAACCCNNCAAAAGGGCCTCCAAGTAAACCCTACACGTCATATTGAGGAGAAACTGCTGGCATCTTGCACCAGCAGCGCGCAAAACAGGGATGCTAGCGGTCAGCATCACCATGCATCGGTTGGTAAACTATATGGGTAGTTCTCTAAATTACGCTCCCTTCTAGGGTCCTTTTTAGAAGGGTGCCGTACTTTTCAATTTTATGGAACTACCCGTATCAGTGAAGGTCCAGAAGAAATCCTTGGCCAAGATGGACCTGCCACAGGCTGATTGCTCCCAATTAAAAAAGCTCTAAACCCTAAAACCCTAAACCCTTAAACCCTAAAGCCCTAAACCCTAAACCCAGCTGACAGTTCAAGGCCTCTTGAAGAAGTGAGTCCGCGAGGCGAAGGGTCGCAGAATTGAGAGCAGCGGAACTGGATGGGAGCAGCGCGCTCATCCGCCAAACGGCTGGCCAGGCAGGGGCCGGGCAAGAGAAAGTCGTGGTTGTGCAAACCGATCGTGACATTTGCCCCTGATTACCCGGATCACAGCGGCTCAGCCTGCCAGGCAGAGTGGCCGCACTTCGTCTTCACCTGCCACTTCACCTGGGAAGCCGGCTGTGTCGTGGCCTTCCGGTACCTGAGCGGTACACGTCTGGGCGTCGGTCGCTGAAAGGCTGCGACAACGTCGTGTGTGGCGGCGACCTTAAACTGGAAGCAGAAACCATCCTCCGACGGCAAGGACTGGCACCGGACTCGTGCTTCAACATCACGCTCCTGCACAACCGCACGACCATCACGGACAACGCCAGGCTTTCAGGCGAGCACCCGTCAAGCACCGCCCGCGCCACAATAAGTGTCCTGCACAGCAAGCTGCTGTATTATATCTAACCTGCTTGCAGGGCCCGAAGTCTTCCTGAACCACCAGCCGAAGGCGGTGAGAGCCACACACAAGATGAGTTTCACAGAATGGCTATATCGCTGCAAACTTGCCCAGCTATACTCGGCAGGTGTGATGGACAGCGGTATTGGCGACTCGGCGGACACTGGTACGTGTACACCACCGAGTCTCAGAAGCAAGAAGATCCAGACACACACACACACACACAGACACGCAGACACACGCGCAGGCACACACACACACACACACATATATATATATATATAGGCATGCAAGACCGCATGACGCATCGACAAAGACCCAGGAGAAGACATGCCACGGCACGGCTGCCGTGGGCTGGTGCCGGTGGTCCGGCGAGCACGGCCTGGACTTCAGCGTTCGGGGCCGAGAATTCACACCACGAAACACAACATGAGAACAACGGCCTTCGCAAAGCATGATGCACAAGGACTTTTGGCCAGACTAGAAGCACGCATGAGGTTGCCGCCTCGATCCCAGAGCCAACTTCCGCGAAGCATTATAGCAAAGCCAAGAAACCCCCGGATCCGCGCCCAGGTCAACCGCCGCAGGTGTTGCATTCCTTTATTTGTCCTTCGTGGACAGAAAAGGCAGCGTGCCTGGGAAGTCGGAAGTAGCAAGACACCTGCACAGCCACACGCATAGTATAGGCAGCACGCACACAGACACGCAGCCACCGACACGCACGCCGAGCGAGTCAGCTGCGTGTAGGGAAGGAACTGGCGCAGGAGTCATCTTCCAAACGGTCAAGCGACCCGCCGACGCACGACGTGTCGGCTAAGCCATGAGAGTCTGAAGCAGCATTCGGCTCCAGAGCACCAGGGACAGCGCAGATTTTGGCCGATCACCAGGATGTGGCAATGATGTTACCGGCTACAAGTACATGTAGAGATGCCGAGCAGGCGTTTGTCAGGAATGGGGTAATATTGCAGTGCCACACACGTCCTAAACTGGGCTTTCATGAATGGCAGTAGCTAACGAGCTATGTTTCCAAATTGCAAAATACTTTGTAAGGGCTTCGTGCGCTCAACCATTTCCCCGAAGCCCCGTTTGTTTTATTACCGCCCGTCAACCTTCAACTCAAAAACTTCTGAACCCTAAACCTAGCAGTCCTCAAACAGGCAGGTTGCTTGGGGTTCCAATCCCTGAGCCCAAACCTAAAGACCAAGCTCTGAAACCTGGAAATATCGAGGTCGGAAAAATTGCCGACACTGTTTCTTATCATTTTTCTTATCCTAATTAAAGCATAGCACGCTGCAACAAACCCTGTTTCAATTGTTGAAGCCCCCATATTTGGGGGTCTTCGTCCTTCCGCGCTTCTTTCCCTTAAACCCTAAACCCGCCCAAACCCTAAACCCTAGACCGAGACCCTATAAACACTAAACCTTAAACCCTAAACCCGAAGCCTTAAACCCTATAAACCCTAAACCTTTCTCCAGGATGGCAACGAAGTCATCCGTCTGGCGAATGGCCAAGTGCTGCACCTGGACGTCCGCGACGACATCCGCGAGAACGACGAGGCTTGGGGGTTTTAAGGCCCCAGGCCCTTCTAGTAATGACACGGTTTAGGGTTTAGGGTAATGTGGGGCCTAAATAGTTACCAATACTCTTTTGGGGGTTCCTCCTTATAGTAACAGTATAACGTACCCCAAAACCTTATTCTAATTATTAAGGCCTCTATTAACCCCAAACCCGAAACTCCCTAGCTTCCTTAAATTCCCTGAACCCCAAACCCTCAACCCTAAAGGGCCTAAACGGTTGCTAGCGGTCTTGATGCGGATCCGCTGTTCCTTGCGGCTATAATGGTGCGAGGGCATCGTCACCCTGAGCGCGGTGCGACGAGGTCGGGTGATTTTCTGTTTTTCCGCCCAGCTCGCACAGAACTGAGTGAGAGAATCGAGAACTCGCCATGTTCATAGCGGGGCCACGGCGTAACGTGACCAATGAGCCGTTGTCGTTCAATGGCCAATGATTCCCAGCTCCTCCCTGATTTTTTTCGACGTCGTGCTGCTGGGGAACCCAGACATGGCGCGCAAGCGTCGCTGCGCAGGCACCAGCTGTCTCCTCGATACCAGAACCCCAGCCCAGGCCCGCCCCAGCAACCAGCCCCCCCAGCCCCAGCCCCAGCCCCAGCCCCAGCCCCATCCAGCAAGCCTTCGACCTTTTGGTCCGCACGTGGCGATGACGGATAGCAGTGCATGCTAAATCCGACACCCTAAACTCCAAAGCCAAAACCCTGTTCCAGGAGGGCAAAAACTAGACGCTAAGCCCGAACCTTACCGTTACCTCCTCTGAGTGCATGACCCTACCCGCAGTGTTTAGAGGCCACAGTAGACCTCATAGATTGTCTGTTTAACTGCATTTGCGAGTAGCGGTGTGCGAAGCAAAACCCTTGATAGTCCCTCTAGAATTATTAAACATGTAACAAACTATAGTTATGATATAACCCCCAAGCCCGACTCTAATTCTCAGGAACACTATATAGTAAGAACTGCTAGGACAACAACGCAATGGGCCGGTGATTGTTGCAGAAATTGGCTTTCTATAATATAGGTGCCTCATATAAAGCAATTTAATTAGAACAGGGTTTTGGAGGTTCTTATACTGGAACTATAGAATAAGGCACCCCAATGGAACAGTGTTTTAAATCATTTCGGCTTCTATGTGAGGGTGTGTGCAGGCTGTTTCTTGGAAAACACAGGAGATCTCTCAGAGTTGCAGGGTTTACCCCAAACCCTGAACTTTCGGTTTCTGGTTTCGGGTTTACGGCCATAAACCGTGTTTCACTTGCGACTCTGAGCAGGTATGATTTCCGAGGATTCGAAGGGGCACCTCTAGTTTGAAAGCGCCGTTGCCTTTCAATCAAGTATCCGAGGAAATGGTAACCGGGAGGTTTCAGAAGGCAAGTTCATCATTGGGCTACAGGAGCTTCAGAAAGTTAAGTTGAATATTGAGCTGCAGGATGTCACAGCTAAGCCCTATCAAACAAGGGGTCATCACTTGCAAATTTTGCAACGTCGGGATTGGGCCTACAGGTAGGTCTGGGAGAAGGAAGACCCAGA